TTTGCGACCCACCCTCGTGCGACTGGCGTGGGGTGGGGATGCTCCGGGCGCCGGGGTTTGGGAACGGGGATGGTGCTCTTTGGAGGCCTTGGAGGCCCCTCGGGAAGTTTCCCGTGCTCTTCTCCCACTGTCAGCGTCCCGTGCCCAGCTGTCTGGGGAGCGGGGGACAGCTGTGGATGTCCCCCCGCCCCCAGCCCTGCTTCAGGCTCTCCCAGCACCGGCTGGACGCGCTGGGAATGGATGGGTGATTGAATGGAGGGAGTGGGGGCTGGGGACCGAACCAGCTGGTGGGCAGACGGGGGAGGGGACGGGCGCCAGGCGCTGGGGGATCCATTTCCGTGGCCACTGGAGATTGTAAGAGACTCAGCCTGCGAGGGGGGAGGTCAGACTGGGGCTGAAGAGCTGCTCCCCCTCTTTGCCTCCATAGCCAGTCAGAGATCAGAGACTGCCCCGGGGTCCTCTCCACAGGGGACCTGTCTTGGCCACGCCCAAGTGAAAGGGCACCCTGTGGGTCCAGAGCCGGCGTGATGGAGACACAAGAAAAGGTCCCACCCTGGGGGGCAGATACAGTGGGATAGATGGAGGGGTAGCACAATAAAATAGATTGTATGTTAATGATAAGCCCTGTGGGGACCGACGAGGCAGGGAAAGGAGATGAAGAGGATGGGAGCCATTTTAGACCTGGGAGGCGGGTCAGGAAGGCTGGGGTGATAAGGGAACATTGGAGCAAAGATCTGAAGGTGAGGGAGGCAGAGATCTGAAGGTGAGGGAGGCGGCCGTGCCCAAACGTGGGAAATGCAATCCAAACACACGAAAGCGAGTGCAAAGGCCCGGGGGCAGGAGCAGGCATAGTGTATTTATAGATCATCTGAGGAGGGCAGCCAGTCTGGAGCTGAGTAAGGAAGGGGACAGCGGGAGCAGATCTTGCAGCTCGTGGATTGTGGCGAAGACTCTAACTTGTATCCTGAGCGGGGTGGAAGTCACGAAGCGTTCTGAAGGGTGTGGCCATGTGTCAGGAGCATAGTGGTCAGGCAATTTTTGTGTTCTGCTATTTTCATGTTCCTGAATTGTCTGTCTGTGTTGGACCTTTGGCATCTCCGAACCCATTTCTTTGCCACGCAGTCTCTGTCCTTGGGTCTGGGCTTCCACTCAAATGAATGAGAGAAGTCCTGGGGAACGGACACTGTAGGGCCCAGGCTAAGAAGAGCAGAGAATGATCCTGGGGCCCCAGGGAACCGCAAGCAAATGGCTCAAGGCTTCCAGTCATCCTCCGACAGGGTCTCCATTGCAGCCTAGTGGACACCGGGGTCCACTTGCTCAGACCTGGACCTCTTTTCATCTGTTCATTCATTCAGTCATTCACTCCGCAGTGCCGTGTTAACCCGAATATTAAACAGTCCCCCAGTTTCCTAATGAACAGATTCTTAAAAGAAAAGAGTTTGGGGAGATAACGTAAAACCATAAATTCTTATACATGTAAATAACGTGGACAGACGCTATTGCGCGCAACATAACTTGTTTGTTTTTTCACTTGTACTGTTTAAAGTAAAATACGATATGGAACGGTGGTAATGGCCGGCACTTACAATATATTTATTGTATGCTGGTCCCGTCGGCAATGCCACTTGTATTGTCACCAGAGCCTGTTGACATAGGTGTAGCTAGTTTTTTTTTAGTATTCTTTTTTTAATTAATTAATTAAAGTGTATTTAATTTGAGAGAGAGAGAGAGAGGGAAAGAATCATAAGGGGGCTCGGCTGTCAGCACAGAGCCCGACGTGGGGCTCGATCTCCCGAACCGTGAGCTCATGACCTCAAGATCAATTAATTCATTATATTTGTTTTTGAGAGAGAGCACGAGTGAGGGAGGGGCAGAAAGAGAGGGAGACAGAATCTGAAGTGGGGTCCGTGCTGTCAGTGCAAAGCTGGATGCGGGGCTCAAACCCATGAATCATGAGATCATGGCTTCGGCTGAAGTTGCATGCTTAACCAACTAAGCCACCGAGGTGCCCCAAACGCGGTGCGGAGCCCGTCGTTGGGCTTGATCCCACGACCCTGGGATCGTGACCTGAGCTGAAATCATGCTCCACCGACTGAGCCACCCGGGCTCCCCGTGGGTTTAACTGTTGCAGGCTGGACTCAAGGCGGTTAGGTCACTCTCGAAGTAGTGATTTTTTGGAGGGCAATGAGACAGGCGTTGAAAATTCCAGAGGGGTCTTTGGGATTTCAAGGAAATGGCTCCCTCCCACCCCTGTCCCCAAATATGTCTACAAACGTGAGCACGTGCATATATTGGTATTTTTTTTTACCTTTAGAAAAAGTCATGACATTTGACATGCATCTAGAAAAGTGCAAAGTTTAAAGAGTAGTTATAAATGGCGGGGGGGGGCCTGTTTGTCTCCATCAGTGGAGCATGGGACTCTTGATCTCAAGATTATGGGGTCAAGCCCCACGCTGGGGGTAGTTTACTTAAAGGGCCACCCAACCCAGCAGCCCCTCCTGATCTGCATCCAGTTGTGTCCCTCAGGGACCTACCACGCTGATGGCGACTCCCACCCCTTCCTCATTTGCATTATGGTTTTCGCGATCCGAGCTGGCTCCCTGCCTGGCACGGGTTGACTTTGCCTGTTTAGAATGTCTCACAAATGGGATCACACGGGACGTCGAGTCCCGGGTGCCGAGTGAGTCTCACCCAACACAATGTCAAGCAGGAGGGCTCATCTGGGCCTCAGCCTGTAGTCGGGTCCCTCCTTTTTTCCTCGCTGCATACTATTTCCCAGCCAGTGTATTCTCCATGTCCTGTTGAGGAGCATGGGGACTGTCATGACCTCGGCTGCCGGGCACGTTCTCAGCCACGCGTTTCCTCCTGAGTGTCTACGCCTCAGTGAAATGGCTGCATTGGCAGATCTTCAGCTTTGCTTGATAATTACAGATAATTTTCCAAAGGGGCTCCCCCAGCAGCAGATGAGAGTTCCTGTGGCTTCATATCCTCACGGGCAGGCAGACTCTTTGTCTTTATTTAATGTTTATTTATTTTTGAGAGCGAGACAGAGCGTGAGCAGAGGAGGGGCAGGGAGAGGGAGACACAGAGTCCGAAGCAGGCTCCAGGCTCTGAGCTGTCAGCACAGAGCCCGATGCGGGGCTCGAACCCACGAACTGTGAGATCATGACCCGAGTGAAGTTGGCCGCCCACCTGACCGAGGCACCCAGGTGCCCCTGATTCTTTGTCTTTAGAATGTTCTGACGGTCCAGGAAGGGAGGGGTGGGGTATAAGGAGGAATCACTGGGGTTTTATAAGGATTCATATTCTTCTCTTGCTTTTTTTTTTTTTTAAGGTTTTTAAAAAGTCTTTTCTTTTTTAAAGAAGTTAAGTCTTTTTCTTTTTTAAGTTTTGTTTATTTTGAGAAAGAGAGAGCGGGGGAAGGGCCGAAAAAGGGAATCCCAAGCAGGCTCCGCACTGTCAGTGCAGAACCCGACGTGGGGCTTGAACTCACGAACCTCGGGATCACGACCCGAGCCAAAATCAAGGGTCGGATGCGTAACCGACTGAGCCACGCGGGCACCCCTATTCTCTCGCTTTTTACACAGGTGGGAACACGTAACGTCAGAGGCTTATGCCATTCTTGGTTCTGGTTTTATCCTCCTCCCCGGTGAGGCTAGACTTCTGTTAATCTGGCCAGCCCTGGGGTGAGATCCACTGTCTCTCCTGAATTTCCCAGTGACGCCACTGCTTACCCTTTCCCCTGTGAGCGTCTCTACAGTGTCACATAGGGTTGTCGATTTTCCCCGTTGGAGGATTTATCTCACCGGCGGCTGTAACCCACCGCCTGATCTTGACATTTTTTGCCATTGCAATTCTGAAATCCCTTCCTGAGAAAAACCACCACAGTCAGCTCAACGTCTTGCCTCCTTTTTAAAAATGTGCTCCACGGGGGCGTCTGAAGCAGATCTGATGTGGGGATGAGAAAGAGAGGGGCATTGGGGGTGCCTCCCAGGTGCGGGTCCTGAGCACCCCAGAGGGCGGGGCTGCCCTTAGGGAGACAGGAGGATGCTGGGAAGGCAGGGTTACGGTGATGGCGCATGCCTGCAGGACCCCGCGAGGTATCCCACCGAACGGACTCGAGGATTGTCATTGTTTAGACGGTGCTGAAACCCCGGAGGCTGGATGGGACCACTGTGGGGGGCGAGTGTGGACATGGAAGAGGCAGGTTGAGCCCCTGTTCTCGGCCCTGCTCCCCATCACAGGCCAGGTGGAATGGCAGATGCTGGAGGGCATAGACTCTGCCCTCTGGCCCCCAGGGGTTTGATCCTGGCCACCTGCTGTGTGACCCTGAGCGCCTTACCACCCCTCTCTGAGCCTCCCCCCCTTTTGGCATAAAAAGAAGGTCCAGAGATTCCAGTTTCTCGGGATCCTTTCGGGGCAACATGCTTACAGCAAGCCTTAATTGAGCACTTACTGTGTGCCAAGCACTACACTCAGAACAGTTCATTAAGGTGTGGGTACTGTCCTGAGCCCAGAGGTCCAGAGAGGGGGTGCCACCCGTCCATGCTTGCCCAGCTCCCAAGCGCAGAGCCCTGTGACATGGGAAACTGGCTCCTGGGCCATGGTGTTGAGGACCTGGCCTTTTTTCCACTCTGGGGACATCTGTCCATGGCCAAAGACAAAATGAAGTGGCCCCGCCCTCCTTCCTCCCCTCTCCCTGCTCTGGGGTAACAGCTGTAGAACATCTGGGACCGGGGCACAGACCGGTGCCCTGTCCTGGCGTCTTTCATAAATCATCCCCCAAGACCCTGTGTGCCCAGGCTTCCAGAAGAGGCAGCCCCAACGTTGGGAACTTGAGGGCCCATACCTCATTTTGCACAACCTTTGAATTTCCTAGAAGATCCTCCATCATCTCCCCCTAAACCCCAACCAGCAGAAGCAAGACTCTGGGACCATTAACAAAGAAAATAAATAGAACGCGGAGACAGAGGAGTGAGGCTGAGGTCTCCACTGGAGGCCCCCATGTTGGATCAGGGTCACAGTCAAGTTTGTTTGACCTACACGGATTTGAATTCAGAGGCTTCCAGATGACCCCCGCCCCCACCTGTCTTACCTGAGCCCCACTGCATACATCCATTTCATCGGTGGCCCATGGGCCATAGGTTGGCAATCGGCATAGTGCTTTTTTAAAATTTTTATTTCTGTATTTTTATTTTATTTTATTTTTTTTTAATTTTTTTTTTCAACGTTTATTTATTTTTGGGACAGAGAGAGACAGAGCATGAATGGGGGAGGGGCAGAGAGAGAGGGAGACACAGAATCGGAAACAGGCTCCAGGCTCCGAGCCATTAGCCCAGAGCCTGACGCGGGGCTCGAACTCACGGACCGCGAGATCGTGACCTGGCTGAAGTCGGACGCTTAACCGACTGCGCCACCCAGGCGCCCCTATTTCTGTATTTTTAAAAAATGTTTTTATTTTATTTGTTTTTGAGAGGGAGAGAGCACGCGAGCAGGGGAGGGGCAGAGAGAGAGGGAGACACAGAATCGGAAGCAGGCTCCAGGCTCTGAGCTGTCAGCACAGAGCCTGACGCGGGGCTCGAACTCACGAACTGTGAGATGGTGACCTGAGCCAAAGTCGGACACTTAATGGACTGAGGCACCCAGGCGCCCCAGCATCGGGCTTTTTTGGGGGTATAACTTTTTATTGGGAAAACTCCCCGGCACACAGAAAAGTGGAAAATAGAAGGGAGTAAGGCCCAAACACCCAGGCAATTGCCTTCTCAATTTTAAGAGGGATTGAGGCCCAGAAAGGGCGTCCACCAGCCCAAAGCCACACAGCTAAAATGTCTGCGGCTTCTAACAGTGGGTTCAGTCAAGTTGGACCAGGGGGAAGATTGGGAGGGATTCACTCATTTCACCAAGAAAAATTTATTGAGGGGCACCTGGGTGGCTCAGCCAGTTAGGCGTCTGACTTCGGCTCAGGTTATGATCTCGCGGTTCATGGGTTTGAGCCCCGTGTTGGGCTCTGCGTTGACACCTGGGAGCCTGGAGCCTACTTCAGATTCTGTGTGCCCCTCTCTGCCGCTCCCCGCCTTGTGCTCTCTCTCCCTCCGTCTCTCAAAAATACATAGCTTAACGTTTTAAAATATTTATTGAGTAGCTACTATATGCGGGGCTGTTGCTGGGGACACGTAGCCCTCGTCCTGCCTTCATAGTGACCCCGGGGAGACCAGGGGTCTAGGAGCTCACAGCCCAGCCTTAGAGTCTTTGTACTTACTGTATCTTTTGCCTGGAATGTTCTTCCACAGATAACTGTGTGGCTGTCTCTCCTTCCCCTCCTTCTAAGCTCAGCTGAAGGAATTGAGTGCCTGGGGGACCCCGGCCCCACCAAGTCCCAGATTCCTGTGCTGGCCCCCTCCCCCGTGGGTCTTCCCTCTTCACCCTATCCTCCCTGCCTGTGAAGGCCGGCACAGATACAGGTGGCCCAGGAAGGCCACTGCACGGACCTTGGTTCCTGCATGTGCCCTGCGGGTCCTCCTGGCCTCTTGACACATGCTCAGCGTTGTCTCCGACTCCCTGACAATGAGGTACAGAGTGACCCCTGAATGCCGAGCCCCCTGCTCGGCTCTGCACAGCAGCCTTGTCAGGTCCCTTCAGGTACAGATGGGTAAACTGAGGCTCAGAGGCAGGAGTAACTTGTCCAAAGCCCCACAGCAAGGGTGGGATGGGGCGCATATTCTGGATGGGAGGCAGGGTGGACGCGGGTCCCCCAGATGAGGGAGCGGAGGTTGGGGACCAGGGAGCCGGCCAGCCAAGACTTAGACCCTTGGTGGGTGCCAGGGATAGAGAAGGATATGTGACCCTCATGCTCTGCCGGGAGCAATTCCTTCCATCTGTGCTTAGTGGGGGTTGGGAGGGCCCCAGGCCCAGCTTGGGGGTGGTCCTGGGACCTCTGGGCTGAGATCCGTGGATTCTGAAGCCTAGATTCTCCTGGTCCGGGGCCTGGTTTTTCCCTTCCACAGCCTGGATTTTCGTCTCGGAGAAGGGATTTATTGGCCCGAAGTGGAGTTCTCCGGGCCCCACTGCCCAAGTGTTCGTGTCCCCAGTGGCCCCCTTCTGTCCCCGCAGGACGGTGGCTGCGGAGGTACGGAAGCAGGTGTCCCGGGAGCGCAGTGGCTCCCCCCACTCCAGCAGACGCAGCAGCGGCTCCCTGGGGGTACGTGTTTGGGAGGTGACCCTGCTCTCTGGCCGATGCGCGCGGGGACGTGGGGAATCCCCTCTGCCAGGCCTTGGTCACAACCCGCCCCTCCCACTGGTGCCCGGAGGGACTGTCCCCACTCTCTTTCTCTGTGAGTGGGGAGGGTAGTCCCCTCGCTGCAGCCCCGTGGGTGGTCACCCTGAGGTCGCCCCACCTCCTGCTGCCTGGACCACCCAGATGGAGACCGGGTGGGGGTTGGGGGATGGGAGGTACTTCCAGCTGCTGGGAGAGGGAGGGAGCCTTAGCAATTGTCTTTCTTTGCTGCAGCCCACATGCCTTTCCTTCCAGCAGAGCCCTGCCCCTCCAGGCACAGGGTGTGATTTCCTGCCTGGAAAGAGGGGCGGGGCAGGCCGCTCTGGGATGCGGGTAGAGAGTCTGAGGTCACTGTCCTCCTTGGCTCCTCACAGCTCCAACACTCTCTATGGCTCCCACCGCCCTCTTACCCGAGCCCAAGCCCACGCTCACCCCCACTCTCAGCCCCCAGGGTGGGGGCCACAGCCACTCTGCTCCAACCCAGGTCCCACTGACTGAAGTCATTGAGCCCCTGGACTTCGAGGATGTGCTCCTGAGCCGGCCTCCAGATGCCGAACCCGGGCCCCTCCGGGACCTGGCCGAGTTTCCAGCTGATGACCTCGAGCTGCTGTTACAGCCCCGGGAATGCCGGACCACGGAGCCCGGGACCCCCGAGGATGGGTGCGTTTGGCGCCAGGCCCTCCTTGTCTGTAACTCAGTTCTGCCTCCATGCCCCTCATCAGCACCCCCTTTCCATCAAGCTCCAATGGCCCCAAGTTCAACTCCTGGCTCGGCTGTGTGGCCTTGGGTGAGGTACCCTCCCTCTCTGAGCTTCTGTCTCCACTTCTCTATAACAGGCAGGGGGGTAGGACCCACCTCAGGCCACTGGAAGGATTAACACTGTACCCTGCCTCTGTTTACCCTGATTATATTTTGTGCAGAAAGCTGGATGCCCAGGTGAGGGCCGCGGTGGAGATGTACACGGAGGATTGGATCATCGCCCACAGGAGGTGGGTCTGGCTTGGGGGGCAGCTCAGGGGAGAGGGTCAAGAGGCCCGGTCTGAGCCCAGGAGAGCTGGTTGGACTAGTCCTCCTGTTTGTTGGCCGCTGTCCCCACAAGGACAGCCAGGCCAGACTTCTCTGGTGGATCTTCTCTGGTGTATTCCAGGGTGGGTGTGCCCTTCTCCCTGCTACCCACCCAGCCCTACCTCCTCTCAGGTACCAGCATCTGAGTGCAGCGTTCAGCCCCATCACCACAGAGACGCAGCGAGAGCGGCAAAAGGGCCTCACCCGCCAGGTCTTTGAGCAGGACACTTCTGGGGATGAGAGGTCCGGCCCAGAGGACTCGGTGAGGGAGCCCCGGGCAGGGGTCACCTTAGGGGTGTGTGTGAGCTCTAGGCCCCAGCTGTCAGTCCCATGTGATGGGAAGTGACCCAAACAGTCTCAACTCCAAAAGGAAACGTATCAGCCCGTGGGTTAAAAGTTAAGGGTAATAATTATAAACATTTATTAAGTGCTTAGTGTGTACTAAATACTTTCTACTGGTCCTCATCTTTCATCCCGTGAGGCAGGGCAACACCCGTTTTGCCGATAAGAAACCGAGGCCCAGGGGCGCCTGGGTGGCTCGGTCGGTTAAGCGTCCGACTTCGGCTCAGGTCGTGATCTCGCGGTTCATGAGTTCGAGCCCCGCGTCGGGCCCTGTGCTGACAGCTCAGAGCCTGGAGCCTGTTTCTGATTCTGTGTCTCCCTCTCTCTGCCCCTCTCTCGCTCACGCTCTGTGTTTCTTTCTCAAAAATAAATATTTTTTTAAAAAAAAAGAAAAAGAAAGGAAGAAACCGAGGCACAGCACGGTGATTAGGAGAATGCCTAGTGGGTCTTGAGCCGAAATTTTGTCAACCAATATTCACTGGGCTCCTACTTTATGCCAACGATAATCCTACCAAGAATTATTGTTATCGTTTCCATTGTTACTAGTTTTAGATGTAGGTGGGGAAACTGAGGGCCTTTGAGTTGGGTTCAGGGACACAGGGTCACAGAGCTGAGTGGGAATTTGAACCAGGGTAGTCTGGCTCTGACCACAACCGAGTCTAGGAGGTGAGGCAGGGCCCTGAGCCAGTGACAGCTCCAATGGGAAGACCTCTCCCTCCCCTGACAACAGTGAGCAAAGCATCACGGAAGGCTCTCATTGGCCCAACCCAGACATGGCCTTACTTTGCCGCCAATCCCTGGGGCCGGCAGATGTCGTGTTCTGATTGGCCAGATGAGTAGTAAGCTTAGGAGAAGCCTCCTCCAACAATGGTAAAGGAGGGGCAGAAGGTTCTAGAAAGAGGCTTAGCAAAGCCTCACAGTGACCCTTGTAGTGGTAACCCCACCCCATGACCCTCAGCTTTCCCATCCGTTGATTGGGCATGAGGATGCCTCTGAGTGGGGTGGAGGTGCATCCAGCTGGCGCTCAGTGCTTGTGCGTTCTCCCCTGGCAGGATGACCCCCGGCACTCCTCGGGCTCCCTGGATGACACCCCTCGAAGCAGTGGGGCCTCTGGCATCTTCGACCTGAGGAACTTGGCAGCTGACTCATTGCTGCCCTCGCTGCTGGAACGCACAGCCCCTGAAGATGTGGACCGGCGGAACGAGGCCTTGCGGCGACAGCACCGGCCCCGCGCCCTGCTGGCCCTCTACCCAGCACCCGATGAGGTGGGTGCCCACAGGCCCACACGGGCCCCGAGGCCAGTACCCATGCGACTGACCCTATGTGGTATGTTGGTATCCCACCAACGTTCTCTGGTTGCCTACTGTATACCCCCGTGTTTTTAAATTCGGTTCCTTTTATTGGATGCCTCCTACATGCCCTTATATTTATCCAGCCAGCATTTATTGGACACCTACCATAGACTCCTATATTCATTCAACCAATACTTAATATATGCCGCTGTATAGCCTTCTCTTTAGTCAAACAATCTAATTGGGGTGCCCGGGTGGCTCAGTCCGTTGAGTGTCTGACTCTTGATTTGGGCTCGGGTCATGATCGTGGGATTGAGCCCCATGTTAGGCTCTGTGCTGAGCATGGAGGCCACTGAAGATTCTGTC